CACACACACACACACACACACATATACACAATATAAATATATAATATACAAAAATAAATTCTGTGCGTGTCCTGGGGGCTGAGCCCTCCTTGTCCTTCAAACCTAGTGCCACCCCTGTCAGTAAGACAGTATTGATAGTTGGGACAGTAAGACACGAGTTAYATGACTTTTATTTATGCCTATGAATATTTAAAAATTGTGCAATGAATATATTTTCAACTTGATTTGAAATTAGCTGGTCTACTTCTTAAATTTTTCAACGAACGAACAAAATAAACTGAACTGAAATAAACAGATTTTCTTTACAAAGTTTACTTACATTTAAGCTCGTGTTGAAGATGATGTGTCTGAAAGCCTGCGGTTTGCACAAAATGGCATCAATAAGAATAATAACTGTGTCATATTCAATATATTTATCCACTGGTTTTTGACAGGACTCCTGGAAAACAAACAGACAAACAACAATAATATTATTATTTGAGTCCATCTTGGATTAAGGATAATTAACTCTAATAACGATGTGAAAACAGTAACATCTACTGATTACAGGAGGTTATATCCTCTTCATCACACAGACGGCTCAAAATAAAATAAAATAAAATAAAATAAACTCACACATATTGTGATCTTTAGGATCCCGTTACTGTAATCTCTGTGGAGCTCCGTCGCTTTTTCGTTACATTCAATACACCTAAACTCAGTTTGTTTCCCCATTTTAGCTTTAAAACAACATGCTAATGTTCAAAACATTCAAACCGGAAGAGATGTGGATTCAGTGCGTCTTCACTTCAAAATAAAAGCGCACACGTGAAAGCTTTTAAATGTATAAATATGATTTATATTACATTTTCTGTCTTGGCCTAAAAAGTCATAAATAAGCAGACATATGTCCGTGTAAATATTTCAATGTCATTATTTATTGAAGGACTGTATTAACTTGATGTTTGTTGTGATTAAGTGAACACTAAATTTCAAAATAAGTTATTTTAAATCTAGGAGATTAAAAAAAACGTAAAAAAATTGTAATGTAAGCAAGGAGTTTCTTTAGAACAGCATAGAACAGGGGTCTGCAACCTTTACGATCAAAAGAGCCACAAATTAAATGTGTCCGGAGCCACAAAACAAGCTACAACTGTGATTATCAACTGCTGGTTCGTGGGCCTTTTCGAGGCCTCTTTGGGAACCTTTATGGCAAATGGAGTTGATGTTATAAAACTAAAAAAATATATTGTGAAGTGTATTAT